ATCTTTCATTCACCATACTATGAAGATTGTCTTCTATCTTTTAAAATATATCTAGACTTAAGTCCTAAAGTCTTCTAGTAGTATCCAATGCCAAAACAAGCTAAAAAGCCTTCTCAATATTCACTATTGGCTTGAAGTCTTAGATTTATCACGGACATATATATTTACTTCAATAATTACTTTTATGATTAGGTAGAAGTAAGTAAATATAAATTAATTCCATAAGGTCTTTTAGTGAAGCTTTCTAGAAACTTCATAGACTTGGTTTTGACTTTAGATGTGTTTGTAGGTTGGAAACTTGGCCAACAAGTTAACCACATGTTGGTAGCTTGTGGAACAAGTTAATTCCATATAATAGCTTGTTGAATAAGCTAACCAAGTGGTGCATACATAGATAACTTTCCTTGCAAGTTAAAACATGTGGCTAGCAAAGTCAATATGTTTTGGAAGTCCTATAGGACATTGCCACATAGCTCCTAGTTAAAAATATATATGATGGCAAGAGTGAATCCTTCTTCACTCTTGTCAACGTTGTTTTAGTCCTTAGTCTTGTTTCAAGACTTTTTAGTTTTTTTATTTTTGGCAATAGCCATTCTAGTTAATATTACATTATCTTTAGAGTGACTTTATAGTTTTCTTCAGTAACACAAGAGTATATCAAAGATTCTCTTTCTTTGAAATTCATATCCTTCACAAGATGTGGTTACTATCCAAGTAGTTTGGTAAATTATATCAATAATATCGGCTCTTGATATCCACCATTTAATGGGCTATTTGAATACTTGCAATAATCTAAAGTTTTAAGGATAATATGCACTTGCAACCACCATCAAACTTTATAATTCATTAGTAATTACCTCTAGATCACTATAAGTCCAAGAAACCAAAAAACACATGATCTTCTTAGCTATTAATTCAATCTCATTTATATGATATGCCTATTCATATTGACAAGTACAATAAAAAATGGAGTAATATGAAAAAATATTTAGAAATAATACTTGCAATTATGAAAAAATATCAAAGATAAAATTTAGAAATCCACATTAAATCCTTATTCTTAACAATACAAAAACAACAATCAAAAGTGGATCAAATAATTAGCACTTTTTTGTGATTGAAGGTTGCAAATTAAAAGTAAATTAAAGCAACCACTATCCATCCATTGTTGATTGTTGCAAATTATCAAACTTGTAATATTAAAAAAATAATTGTAACAAAAAAAATAAAGAAAAGTAAAAAAAATCAAAAATTTACTTAAAAAGCATATGCTATTAAATAAATAGTACTTTAATGCTCCAAATTATCTCTACTTCATAAATCAAAAATACTATTAACTTTATTGGATATCTTCTATATAAAAACGACTAAAAAATAATAAAATTTGGACTTTATTTGATCTTTGAATAATCTTCTAAATTTAATATCTATGAATTTTAAAAAAATTATTAAAAATTATAATAATTTAAGCCATGTTATTATATGTGGTCTTTTATAACTATGCTAGATTCTTTGGTTGTATGGCTCTTATGATTGCATGATCATGCCATTAATTGAGCCATATAATCACACTTTTTCTTTCTTCTTGAATCATTGTGATCAATTAGAAGCCTTTTTACTATATAAATTACCATTGAAAGATATCATTTATCATTATAAGTTGCTAAATATTGCCACAAGTCAAATTATTTTATTATTTTATTTTTATTTATTATTTCTTTGAAATTTGTATGCCACAAGAATATGTCAAATTAAATCCTAAATTGCAACCTTGGTTTGCAATAACAAATTTGCACATACCAATCTTAAATTTCAATTAAAATCTTCTTTTAGAAAAAATAATAAAAAATAAATAAAAAATAGTGTCACTTTGTTCTAGCTTTCTAACATCTTATGCTTTGTTGGCAAGCCTTTATGCCATAACAAAAAAAAATCTCAACACAATACCATGACCCTACGACAAATAACATTACATCACACTTCTTGCTTAAACATAATAATTTTGTAACAATGATGCAATTCCCTTCCCCTTTTGTGCTTGTCTTGTTGTGCCACCCACTACAACTCAATGCTAACTACTTTTTGTACCGCATAATACTTTGCTATATCTTGTAGCTTCATTACTTTTGTTATATAGCAATATTATATTACTCTTGCAACCATACTATTTTCCAACATTAGACAACATTAGTGATAACAATACATTGGCATCTAACCTTGTGACTTAGTGTTGTTCCAACAATCTACATAGTAATCTATAGTCTAGATGTTGTACTATTTTAGTAGTATAGATATTTTAGAGCATCCTAAAAACCTAAAAAATATAATACCTAATAAGATTGAAGAAAGGTTTTGACGAATCTATATACAAATTAGTCAAGATATCTCTTATACCACAAAAGAAAAATCCAAGAATGCAAGTGTGAGTAGATAAAATCCAATAGCTTTACTAAAATGGCTAAATTACCATAGTCAAGCAAACATTTATAATACATGCTTTTTTTCTCTTTAAATCATTTACAAAACTTGATTTGATAAGAAAGTCAAGATAAGGGGATTTTTTTACCTAATTATTCAAATCTTTGTTGACATTAATAATGTCAATTGATAAAAAATAAAAAATAATAAAAAAAAACTAAATGGATGGCAAACTAATAAATCAAACTAAATTATATACATCCAATGAGATTTGGTACAAAATGCCATGTCATGTGATAAGTCAAAAAATCTATTTAATTTTGTTATATATATGATATATATTATAAAAAAACTTTTGATCTAAAACCTATTGTAGAATAGAATTGATCTTAATATTGAAAATTATCTAAAAATTATATAATACTTTAGTTTATTTTATTTTATTTATAATATAATTTTGGTATTTTATTTTTATTTTTTAAATAAAAAGTTTTTTTTATATGTTATATATTTTGAAAAAAAACAAAATAATTAGTTGAAAAAATAAAATATTACATTAAAAATTTCACTTCTTCTATAAAAAAATAATTGAATAACAATAAGTGAATGCATATTAGAACTAGTTGTATTTTAAAAATACAAAGAAAATCCATTATTAATTATTTTCACTAACTTTGTGAAATATAATTAGTCCACACTTGAAAGATGATATTATCTTTAAATCAAAAATTTATAATTTCTTTCTTAGATTACTACAAGAAAATATATTTGAAAGATATTAAAAATATATAATCTATTAGAAATTTTGTGTCTATTACAATATTTTCATACTAAAAAAAATATCTAATGTGTGATAATAAAAATAAAGTAGAAGAAAGTAAAAAAACACACTTCTATTTATGAAGATTCTAAAATTTAGAATTTTTTTGAAATGCAACAACCAACCACTTCATATATATATATATATATATATATATTCAAATTATATTTAGGTTTCTTTATATTATTTCTATAAGTACTTTTATTATAATTGTGAGATTTTAATTAGTATTTTATTTTTTATTTATACAATTCATTATATAGATTATTTTAATTTTTTTTATTGATTGTAAATAGTAAGATGTCAATTTTTAACTGATTTAAATTATATAAGTTCTTTTTCAATAATACTACAAATTTAAGAAACTTATTATTCATATAAAAGTATACCATATACACATGTGTATATGTAAATAAGATTAGAATTATTTATATCTAAACACTAAATTATTAAATAAGATATATATAAATATAAATATACATATATATATATATATATATATATATATATACTATTTTAAGATTTTATTTGATAAATTAATTTTATAATAATAATTTTTTTTTATTACAAAAAAAATATCCATCTTTTGGATAAGATGCTGAAAAATAATTTACTTTAGCTTATAAAAGTAATCAAATAAAATACGTATTAAAAATAAGAAAAAAATTGATAATGTACTACTGTCAATAGTTATATTTTTTGAAAGTATTTTAAAAGTGTTAAAATTTATTCCGATTTTTTTAAAATTTTAAATTGGATGACAATAGTAATTTTTGAGATATTATTTTAGTACTAAATGTACAAAATTTCATATTGATACTTAACAATCCAAGTATCTACACACAACCTATCAGGAATTTCATAGATTCTTGATTTAGTTGATAAATTTTACAACACAAAATCAAATGAATTAAAATAAATATAAAAAACCTAAGAGTAATTTTATTTTTTGTTATTGAGTTGTATGAACAATACACAATTGCCCTATTTTTAGTTATATTATTGTAATTTTGATAAATCACTATAGTTTATTGTAATTCATAGTGGTAGCCAATTAGAGCCAACAACATCTACATTGATAGAGTCAACAATTATATCTATAGTAACAACAACCAATAGCAATATTTTTAGCTCTATTATTTACAACAACAATAACCAACATCAAAAGTGTTAATATTGGTGGTGCTTCAAGTGCATATATAAATCATAAAATCATCTGTTGATATGAAATTGTCTTTTGAATTCACATACAACTCTTATTTTGATTATAAAAAAACTAAAATACATGTATAGACTATTTAAAATGTTGATATACTTAATTTCTTTAAAGTAAGTGTTGCTTCATCCAAAGGAAGAAAATAGCAATACACTGTAAAGTTGAAGAGTTAATGCAAATTCTAATGGCAAATGATCCAGTTTTTTATTGCATTCGACTGTGATTGTCCTGATCTATTAGGAAAATTATCATCATCTGAAGATCAATTGGGTAGGAATGTGTGCGCGTTCAACTGTTTGTAACGGTAACAATGAAAAAATTAAAACCAATCGGTCATATTATGCTTTGTAACACAAGCGGCTCATGCTTGATTTGATTGTAAAGGTAACCTTTTGGTCAGTTTACGACTTGGATGGCTCGTAAAACTGAAACAGTAGGTGTCAATGATGCAGCTACAGCTTGCCTTTTTTACACAAAACTAAGGTTGATTGAGAAGAGAGAGCTAATGGCTTACCCCAAGGAACCATCACTACACTTTGACTCAACCAACAGAAAAAAACGGCAACCAGAAAGCCTGGCCATGTTAGGCTTCATTTAGAACCACATATAGCTTGCAACAAACCAAGTTAAACAATCCTGCACACTAGGTCTCCAGTACACTTTTATTGTTTATCATAATTGGAGAGCTTGAGACATCAGGGCGCACCTATCTTTACAGAAATGAACACACCTTTTCGTTCACGTAGCAATGTGTCAAATAGTCCTTAAAATGTGCACAGGCGCCACAAGTCTTCAAAGCATCAATTATCGTACAAGGTCAAGCGCAGTAGATGACTAGTGGTGAATCACGAATATTTTTGGTCTTGGGCCAGCCCACTACTGTGGTATCTTCAAATGAAACCTTTGACATGCGGCAGTAATAAGCCAGGCCCGTCGTGGAAGCTCCTATCTCGGACATTAAAAACCCAGCGCCTGGCACCAGTTTGGCCAATATCAAAACTTTCAGCTTTCACCACTTCGGTTTCCATAGGCATTCAAATTATGTGAACCGTTTGATAAATAGCCACCACACAGAAGCTAGTCAGCATCCCTGCCACCAATATGAGATTTACCTGCCATGACTTGACCTGAGAGAGTCCTCGGCAGGTTTAGGTTGTTACACCATCCTGTACCTTCACTATTCAATAAGACCAGCTCCGCATCACGTGATGGGGTTGGTTACACAAAAAATGAACTTGGTTTGTTTCTCTCTGCTGATGTTGATTAATCCCAACGAGGTGTGTTTATATGTTTGAAGCTGACGTCCTTGGCTTTTTAAACTTGAACTTAACTTTCATAGTATCACTCACGCCTTGATTCTCAATTGTTGCATCTTCCAGATGTAAATGATTATTCGCAGGAGCGTCTGAAGCAGGTCTTTCCTCAACTTTAACGTCTCTATCCTCTTTTCGATGTTTTTCCTCTTTCAAGGATTTGTGCCCTTCTTGACGGTGTCGCTGCTCGCGTTCCTCTTTCCGTTTCCTTTTCTTCTCCAGATAATCCGAATCGTTCTTATCATGTTTCTTCTTCTTCTTCTTCTTCTTCTTCTCCTTGGGATCTTTCTTGTCCATCTTATCATGTCGTCTTTCCTTCTTATCATCACACTGCTTCTCAACCCGCTTTTGTGATTCTGTTTCCTCAAGGCCACCATCTCGAGTACAATTTTCAGCACCCGTCATTCCTGACAGACTGTTAAACCGCTGAAGCTTTGAGTCCACCGTCTGAGATTCATTTAATGATTTGTTCATATCATCGCTAGATTCTCCTGTGCCATCCTGGGTATCCTCTCCATACATATCAAAAGGAGGCTGTTGCTCCATACTTCCCCGAGAATTTCTCCCTGGATGTGTATTACCCTGATTGAAACCTCCAGGACTACCACCACCTTCGTTTTCCTCGGGGATCTGTCCCTCAGTGCCATTGGTATCCTTGTGTTTCATTTCTTTAATACTTGTATCTTGGATGTCGCCATTTACGCCTACACAAATCGTATTCATGAGAAGAGTTTGCGAATCGTCTGGTTGAGTGTCTAACAGCTGCATTCTGGATGATTCAAGCTGACTGAAACCTAGATTTGAATCTGTGACCTCGTGAAGATTTACTTCCTTCATGCAATTCGGAGGAGAGCTGGCAACGTGATGGTCCATAGGCGCAGCTCCAGTAGATACTTCCAAAGCCTGGCTTGCATCCTCAACTACAAAGAAGTAGTAAAAATTATTGGATTAGCACCATTAAAACGTAACATAACACAGCATGACCACGACAAAAGTTCACATATGAACATTGAAAACTTTTTGGGAGCTCTACACTTCCTGTAGGAATGAAATTAGTGTGGTCTGACAGACTGTAGCTACAGTTACAAACCCCAGTCAAAAAGTCTAGGACAATCAGCTCCATGTGCTCTAAATACAATTATCTTTATTTTGCATTTTAGGAACAACACACACTATGTCACAAAACTCACTGCGTAGGATATCTATTAAAACTATCAATACTTCGATAGATTGCTAACCTGGACCATCAAGAGCTGAGGACGACTTCCGAAGTTTCAACTTGATCGAAAATCTTCCTTTTTGCTCATCCATCTCTCGTTCACTTCCAGAACTATCAATATCCTTCCGATTAGCATCATCTTTCGAAGAACTTGGAAGTACAAGTCGCAACTTCAGGGGTTCTGGCTGAGCAGGAACCGGAGATTGTGCAGGCCGAAGGCGAAGTTTGAATGCGTTTTTAGCTTTTGCAGAACCCGTATCTTGGGATGCATGTTTTGGTGCCAACTTTGAGAGATATTCAGCTGATCGATACAACGACGCAGACCTGGTGGACGCTCCAAATTGAGTTAGGAGTGAAACTTAAACCTCTTCAACAAAGAGAAAACTTGTCCAATTTATATGAACGGAAGGATCGAAGCAGAAGAAAAATGCAAGGAGGAGTATGAGAAAGTTATACCTGCCAGCAAGAACCTGCAAAAAAGAGAAAACACTATGTCGAAGCATAACATTATGGAAAGCAGTACTGCTTTTTAACAAAGTCATCAAGCGTGCTACACTAACGCTCCCAATTTTACAGCTGCCCTTCTCAATGAGAGAAGCTATGCGACCTACATGCTTCATAATTTTGCTCTTAACTGCATCCCCACACCTACAGCCAGTGAGAAACTAAAAGAACAAGAGCCACGAAACACGATGCATGGCAACAAATAAATTGCTATAAACAAGTTCATGGAACGACAATGAGGTCACAAAACAATAGCCCATGTTTTCCCAGAAAGAGACAAGGTTACAATTTAGTGGTGTTCTGCAAAAGTGTAGGATAAGGCTCAGGACCAAAGACTTCACCTGGAAATGAAAATTCACTATGAATCAGTTGTAACGCAAGAATAACTGCAGCTTCCAATCCTTTTGAGTAATATTCTATATCCAATAACGCCTTTAGGGCGGCAACTCGCACTCGCCAGTTAATCTTATCACGATCCTTGAATTGTTTCAACAGCAGTTTTACTCGTTCCTGATGCGGTAAAAACTCCCTGGTATCACCAGAAACTCACCCCATAGGACCAGAGAAATAACAACTTGCAAAATCCAGCAGTTAGCTAAGTTCATTTCATGCAGGAAATAACTTACAATAGATAAAGCATAAGAAAAGCGTATGGCAATATTTGCCAACGTACGGATGCAGCTTGTGGCCACAACTCCATTATAACTCGGCATCAACCTGCATCCACGAAGAATTCTTCAGGTTGGTGTACTGATTTCGAAGCCTCAACACGTGAGGACCAAATTACATATATCATGGTCCTTGCCACCACAATTGTTCTAGCCATTGTGCAAGTCCCACTTTCGTTGAATTTCATGTACAACAGCTGTTGAAGCAAACCCCATGCTGCAAACAAAGATTAATTTGCCCTGTCTATCCTACGATTCAAAAGGAGCTCGAATTGTCCTGTGATAAGTTTCAGGAATGACCATGGAGAGCACTAAAAGATGAGGCATAATGTGTGAAAAATACATCTAGGAGAAGACAAGCCATACGTTTCACCATGCGCTTCATCACGTAAGTTTGTCAGGTGAAGCAAAGAATGGAGCGCATGGTCTGAAAACATCTGATGATCTTCACTGTCCAGAAATAGGTGTCGTACACTATATTGTCATGCATACCTGTCATACTGCAAGAAGCGATCAATTTGCTTCAGAATCCGTGCTAACGTCCTTAAATCCTGTATAGGCAAACCCCAGTTTCCAAGTAAGATTACGATGCTGCCCGAATTTGATCTACTTAAAACAAACTGCACAATAGGGACACTGAAGGATGAAAAGAAAACCCATAGAGAGAGAAGCCAATCCATGACATATCTGGCAATTATAATTCATAAAAATAAATAAACAATTAAATAAATAAATGGGTTCTCTTTTACGGTACTAAGAGATAGAGGGAAGATGGAGAGTACAACCGCACCTGCTTCCCGAACTCCAGTGAACCTACAGCTTCAATGACAGAAGCTAGCCAGTATACATCAGAATGTACATTTCCATTGTTGTCATTATGCTGCACCATCCCCAAAATGAGATCTCCACTTTGAGAATGCAATATACTCTTATGAGGTCAACAATTACATTATGATCAAAATGAACATAAACAACCCTAGACAACAACAGAGGAAAGAAACTGGCCCTCGACAACGTGACAATGCTACCTCCCAAAAGTATCAAACAGTGAAAACAGTGAGTATATCAAATGAAGAAGTATCCAGCAGATATAATGCGATTTTAAGAAACAACCGTTTCATACATAAATTCAGTAAAAACCTTAAGGATATGTAGAATAAATTCAGATGCTTCCAACGGGCTCTTGCCATCATTCCCACGAACTTCGGCTATCGCTCCTGGAATAGCCTGGATGAAGAAACAGCTCACGGAACTCAAGTTAAGCAAAAGGAAATAACAACCAGTCAACATCTATTCACTCAAACATAGAAAAAGGTAATAAATTGTTAAATGTCATCAGTACTGTTTAATCTTGATAAATTGAGGATAAAAGACGCTTGAACTTCACGTTGCTAGGTCACTTAGAGATGAAGACATGCAAGTTAGTAGTAGTTGCAGATGTAAACCACACCACTTGAGACACCAAGTAATATTATCTACTTCATACTAAAATGTGTTAATTCATCAACTAATACCAGGAAATGGAAGATAAAAACCAGCTTGAAGTGACCAAACATAACAGCAGACGCACCTCTAAAACAAAGTATTCAGAGAAATCGTGAAAATCATTTGGTCTGTGTACCCCCACAACCCAACAACCCATGAATCCTCTTTAGTTTCTGTAAAAATAAGTAAAGCTTGCGTAAAACAAACAAGGGCTTTGTTTTGGCGTCAAAGGAAGGGCATGAAAGAGAACCCACTTCGGTAAACTTATGTCAGGATCAAAACGACGACTTTTATAATACTTTATAAGATTCTGTAAGCCCATGTGGCTTGTCCCCTGCACATGAGCAACAGAGAAAAGCTGGTGAAAACCTTAGGCGAAAATCTCTAGAATGTAAAATTCATAACCACAGATCATAAACCAAGGTTCATATAGGATGTGAATATAATCATGGAGATGTTTTTTCGCCACATGGTAAGAACGAAGTTGATCATTACCCCCAGCGTGTCACAGTAAGAGGAAGTAACAAGACCTTGCGCAATAGATCACACATACAACAACATGCCTCATACATCAAACATGGTTAGGTGAATGGGAAGCACACCTCTGAGGCAGTACTAGCAAGTGCAGCAGCTGCTTCAATCCTCACGCGACAGAAGACCTTTGATTGACAAGGACCAACACATAACATCAGATGACAAGCAAAATGAATATTTTGTAGCAATTTATGGCAACAGCAACCACAAAATTGATAGAAGGTCTTCCTTAGCATCGCATACCGAAAAAATTGGGAAAATATATGCAGTTGTCATAGAAAGACAATAAAACCGACATATCTCCAGCCAATTATTACCCATCATAGCAATTTCATTTACCGAAATACCTTGGGATCAATAAGGCAATTGTTGAGAGCATTGACTACAGCAAAGGATGTGCGAGGATGAGCACGCAATGCAGCTACAGCTTGTACTTGACCAATAACATCCCTGTCTTTCTCCAATTGGTTTATCTGTACAAAGAAAGAACCGTCACCAAGAATCAATTAGGAAAAAACCGCCTATTGAAAATTAGCTGTAAATAATAAAGATTGACTCAAATCTGGTAGAAACACCAAACATCAAACATCAAACATCGAAAATTACATTCACTTTTAACGCCTGTACAAGATACATACCCACATCTGCTCTGGTTGAATTAGATTCAACTCGGCTAAATACTCTAGCTCCGGATCACCGCGTACCCACAAAAGAGGGGACTCCAAACTGCCAAAATCACATTCGCAAACACAACTTCCATCAGACGGTAAAGGAAGCAAAGGGCTGGCACCTGACACTTGTAATCAAAACAGCACGAGACTGATTCAATAAAATGGACAAAAGACGATTGCATATGATAATCAACTCCACTAGAATGCAACTGCTGTCAATAGGCACCTTTGAGCTGGAGTAGCATCCACACGATCTTCCACAGCTTCACCCTTAGTTCCTTTCTTAGGACGTTGCATACGCCGACCAGCGAGCTTAGAATGGCACTGAAGTTCTAAAAGTTGGTAGCAATCACCAGCCATGGGTAAGCTTGGATGGTCATACATGCCATCTAATTCATGCAACCTTATGCTCATCATGCCAGGCCATCCCATGTCCGAGTTGCGGAGCTTCAAGTCAGGAATTTCGAGTTTTCCTACAGCTCCTACACGCTTTGGTATAGAAGTAGACTCCCGACGAACAGCTAGCTCTACCATGTTGCGTCTCTTGCTGTAGACGAACCCCATCCTAACAACAAATAGCCCCAGGATATAATTGTCTTCCAACGTTAATAAACCTAGAAAGTTGCTGATATTTGCCAACTTCTACTTGCCTTAAAAAATTCAAAATGCATCATAAAACTACCTAAAACTAGCATGCCCTAGTCCCGAGGGGATTCTCGTGATCAAGAGCCAGCTTAAAACTTGAACCTCTCTCTGTCTTTCACAATATCTCTTAAAACCCCTGAGCATTGCGAAAATAGATACTTGAGATGTATTATATTAACGTTGACATACTTACTACAAAGAGCAAGGACCACATGGCTAAAAATCTGATTCAAAAACCTCAAATAAACTAGCAAGATATCGACAATGATTAACAAATTGAAGACTTTGAAGACTAACCTCAAACGTGGACACCCTGATGATTCAACCCAGCGAGGGAAGAAATCCTTCAAAAACGGACGTTCCAAATTTCCCAATTTGTTTGCAAAGTGACGAAACTGCAACCAAGTAATATCTATTACCAGCTGCTTCACACGCTCGTAGAATTGGAGCCTTGGGTGTGCAAAGTAGAATTCCATAGGGAGACTAGATAATAGCAACGACGACTAAAAAGGCAACAATTAACATTTTACAAGCGAATCGCTAGATTAGAGTTTGGTGATGCATTAATAGTTCTAAATTCAAGATCATAGAATACAAAAGAGACACCTCAGTAGTGCTTAGGGTTTGATTCTTGCTGTCAGGATCTTGTGCCCTCATGATTATTCTTTGCAGAACCTGCATAACTCCCAGCTCCAGATCAAACGAATGAACTAAACCATTAAAAGTAAGTAAAAGATACATGAGATTAAGGTTTAATCTAATCTTATTCCATTAAAAATGTATCGATAGTCTTTACACACGAGAGCCAAACCTATACCTTACGAAATGGCTCTGGACCCATTTGCCTTTCTAACATTTGCACAACCGCAGTCTGTTGCACATCCAACCCAGTTTAAGATTCAGCAGCTGTCAGCACGTAAATCTCTTCCCAGAGCTCAGGTAAAAGGGACTACTGGAGGGTCCATGAAAAGTACAAGTGGGTAAATTATGCACACTAAGCCAAGAGGTAAAGTAAGCAGTCAACAAGGAACTTCGATACACAACATATTTGACAAAGAATACCATGAGAAGATAATTTAAAATTCAAAAACATGCTTGAACGGGAAATAAAGTTCCAGAGCTGTGAGACTATGATTCAAACATAAATCCTAACCCCAGATCAGGGCGAAAGGAACTCAAATCCCCATGCACTGAGAGACATGTACATAAAAGCACAGACTAACTTTCAAGGCTTTAGAAACTTGACAGGGAGGTAGACCTTCCGTTACCCACCATCTGTAGTGACACCCAGGGTTTAAACGCAAAACCAAGCACTAGCAAAAAATAAATATATATAAAAGAAAAAAGAAAAAAGAAAAAAAAATCAACTAAAAACCTTCAAGACTAAAACACGTTTTCATCACATTGTTTGAGTAAGAAAGGCGTGGTAAACAAGTTCATATGTATAACAACGTACAGCTTTCCAGGTTCTAATTTTCCCAAGCACACCAAGTTTTTCAGTGCCACACATATTTATATCCAGCCCAGCTGGAGGGCTTAAGACAGGTGCTCCCTCAACTTCCACCAAGCAGACGGCTTCATTTGCCTGCAGCAGTTAAAGTACTATTCTGTCAATCCTACTTCGCTAATAAGAAAGTTCTTCAAACTTCAAACGTAAAGAAATCACAAAAAAATAAGGTCTTAAAAATGAGAACTTGATAATCATAATCAGGAGAGTACGCAAATCACTGCTAGAGAGCGTAGACTTCCAAACAAAGTCAATGAAAGAGTCTTACACTTCCTAATCTGTAACTCTTTTCAACAAAAAAGTGTCAAGTATTACCCTGCAGAAATGAAAAGGGTACAAGACCTATACCTTATAGCGTCTAAAGCGGGCTTCATTGTTTCCAAGAAAACGCTTGACAAAAAGATCCGTAAGCATTCCCGCCAATCCTTCCAACAGCCAATCTAAAAACAACTCATGTTTTGTCAAATTAACAATTTTAAAACTATTACAAATACCAGTAAGAAATTCGTGATAAAGGACTAGTATATTATTTGATAAACAACATATCCTTCGACGAAGACTTTAGAAATTATGGACTTTCGACATAAGGGAAGAGCAACTAGTAACAGGTTGCAACTTGTACTTTGAGGCATCATCCACAATTACTACATGATAATGACAATCTCTTAATGGTAGGAACTGGTAAAATTTTCAATCACGGATTATTAAAAAGGTTCCATACTTGAGTGAAAAAGACTTAACCTATCTTAAACGGGTAAACGTAATCTCACCATCCCCTGCAGAATCGGGAATTATGAAGATGCCAAACCACTGCTGAGCCAAAGCATGAGCGAGCTTGATGCGTGTACTTATAGCCTTCACAACAACCACCATGTTCACCACATGTCATTTGAGAAGGCTTTCATACGTTAAGAAGGATATAACTCATATCATTGCCAGCCAAAAAAAGCCTCACAAGATGACCAACGCAGAGGAAATAACATCAATGACCACAATCCATCAAAATCAAAAACCAGAGAGTAGCAAGATTTCATGTAGGCACTCCTGGATTCTGCCTGAATTTACAAGCAAACTCCCTCTCAAACTGATGTCCTAAATTGATTGAAATCCAAGCGACAGGGAAACGTAATGATCACAAATATCTGATAAAATCCAACGCCAGCATGGATCATATTTATTTCATATGAACGAGAATGAGGAAGATAATCTTCAAGCAGTAAAAAGGCATCACATTGAGATACTAGCAACATTTATGGATAGCTAGAGCTGAACTTCATAAACAAGATGTGGGACTTGTCCACCAAAGTATCTCACTCTACCTGATCAATGATGTGTTCATCTGCCAAAAGATCCGCACTAAAAGTTGCTAAGGATGCCCCAACGCTACTTGTTGAAAAGACAGCATCACCAGGAAGAAATACTTGTTTATAGCATTCAAATGGAAAAGGAGCTCCCAGATACTCTTCATATAAGCTGGGGGAACAAAGAATATCTTATAGAAGTCAAAAATCAACAAATAAAATCCTATATGCACAGGAGCTTGTGTAGATAAAAACAGATCTACTTGGTGTATTTCATCGTATAGTAAATGATCAAATATGATATTTCATCAGCAACGAAATCATCTTTCAGAAGTAATACACAATTCACGGTACAATTAGCTACTGTTATTATATTATCAAGTGGTGTAAGCAAGCGTACACGTCTCAACCCATCAAATGCAACTTTAGGCTGGATGAATTTCTACTTTGGGAAATCCACTGCACGAAAAATTTTAACATATGAACGAGCTAAAATCTGGTAATTATGTTTCCAAAGTCAAGCAGCAGCTACAGAAATATCTCAAATGAGAATTATGAATTAATTGGAAGGGTTGAGAAATAGATTTATAACAGCAATGTACCTGAACACAGAGTGAAACGTGTTGACAGACGCATTTAGCGTTGCATCCATGCCCGGCATACACAGATGGGACACATTTGAATGATGACGATCTGGAAGGACCACCAAAGGTGCAACAACCAGGGACACAAAGGACGCCGCTATAGGGATTGAAAGGCTATACACATATGTTTTAAGATGGGTTCCCTCCTTGCTGTACACCTGCTCACTCATTGAGATATAAAGTTATGCAAAGCAGAAGAAAATACGTTGAATCAAAGTCACCGGAGCAGTCTCATAAACTAAAACACGAGTTTCTGAGCACATTGCAGAGCTTATACCTGGTGAAGCAATTTGCCATTGCTGACTGCAACATACTCTGAATGGACTGTAAACTCAAGATCGAAGCTGCGAAATGATAAACAAAGTCAAGAACTAAAATGAATATTATGAATCACAATTGACGAAAAATAATAAAAGAATAGTGAAAAAGAAAAAACAATAAAAACAATGATGTTAACAAAAATTCTGCACATTGGCAAGAAGAAGGAACCTAAGGTCTCTTCAACACTTGTACATGCTAATCTTAACTTCTCCCTATCACCAAAGGTTGTCCGCGAAGAGCTCAGCATACCATGATTCTCCAAAAATCACTACTTACTAACGATGATAAAGAGGACTAAATCATATGTTGTTGGAATACCTGCAGCGTTGCAGTGTAGAGTCCACACAAGGAAACCAGCAACGTGCCCGCCTCAACTGATTGTTGGTATAAAATAGATTCCCTTCAAAATGAGCTCCTGAGAGTGGCTTCTCTACCCAATAATCCACACGCACAATGTGGACCTACACCTCCCCAGAAAGTTGTCCAAGGTCAATATTTGACACATTGCGTTGAAAATAAAAAAGGAGCTAGGAAGCAGACACTCCCACTACAAGCCGTCCACCTATACCGCAAGTAGGTCATGGATACAATCTAAAGAGCATAACCAAGCGAGCAATCACCACTTCTGAATGAGAAGTAGAAACAACCACCAAACTTGTGGTCTCGGATGTTGTATCAGGTGCTGTCTGTGCGAAACCATGCTCCAATACTGCTTCAACCTGTGAAGGGCAGAAGAAATTAAAGTTCTTAAGTTAATAAATGTAAGGAAACCTTCACAATGTCAAACCTTAATAAGCATAGTCATGAACACACCATATTCCAAACTAGAAAAAAATGATATGACGACTTAGTGATTCATCATCGCTTCCACTGCCATCTGGTATAGAAACATAATCAAAATAAAAACCCTGGATTCAGAAGAGAACTAAATAAAATAAAATAAAATAAAAATAAATAAATAAATAAATAAAACACTTCCTTTGATTGAGCCTGAACAGGAATCACAGCTATAGCTAACATTGATTGGTTTTTAAACATAAGGAAGGCGAAAAATATTCACTGTTCCAAGTAATAGTCAAACCCAAGAGCAGAATTGAGAACTACAGCGAGTTAATAAACCTGTTCTTTATGATCATATGTCAGTGCCACAATCCTAAGGGATGATAAAATTAAGGTCAGATCTAGTTTGCATCTGTGCATGAACGTACCCCACAACGAATGATGTATAATCCTCATCAATGGACTTTTGACGCCTTGTAAACTTCCAGTGATGATGTTAACATTACAAAAATAACATATAGGGGCTCGGTGTTGTTAAGAAAGTTCACCTCGAGGGTCGTTTCAGTTACTTGGGCTGGGCCTGCAGGTTTTGAAGGAGGAGGGAATATAAGAAGTTCAGGCTGAGATTCCACATGAAGATCTCCAGAGTATTTCTTGTACGCATCATCAGCTGCCTCCTGATTCGACTTAGTGTAGGGTGCTGGATTAGGTCCATCATTAATGTAGACCTCATCGTAATTATTTTGGTTAAGAATCTCAAAGTGAGCTTCCACACCATCGACAAGAACCTGTTCAATATGAAGGTCACGGGCATGCAAGCCGATCACTCCACCACCTTTTCCTCCTTGTTTTGCTGCAATTTTTAACTCCGTGTGCCTGCATCGGCAATGAAAAGGTGGAATGATCAAAGGCTGTCTTGAACACTCTTGTTACTAAACCACACATGTGCCAATATTGAAAACTTCAAGAAGGCCACCGAGCAACCGATATAAAAACAAGAAGGGGAAAGTTTGGATTACTGCAGCTACCCCAAATTGAGCTCTAAACCTCACCCGAAAGCCGTAGTTGCGTCGAAATCGGCAGTTTAATGTAATAAAGTAAATATAATCAGAAGTAAACCAAAAATTCCAACAACAACGCTAATCTTTACAATTTGATGTGTGGAAATTCCTATAAGGTACATGAGTAGAGTATATGACAACATTCATTGAAAAGAGTTTGATGCCCATGCCCTTCACAAAATCAAGGAGAATTAATTTGTCCTTTCGAACCCAAATTAAGAGAGTGCGCTCACCCATAGATCCGCTGCGTAGATAGATCGATGGCCACACAAAGCTTCTGGTGAAGTATCGCACAACATGATGACGTAAAACCTTCATCCGACATGACGACCTCTACATCTACTCACCAACTGTAATTAGAGGATATTCAACTCGAAATTCGAATTCACAAGCTCTCAATTTTGCTTCCGCACAATGAGCACCAACATCTTCCTGCTCCGCTGCCGAAACAAAATCTCAGTTTCAAAATATTACAGGGAAATTTGGTACCTGAGGGTAAGTGTTCTTTTTGCTTCTGTTTCCGCTGCTTCGCCATTGGTGAAGCTCATTGCCAGCTGTTACAATGGCTGCGAAACCCCACTATATTCCTACACTCGGTTCGCCATGGTTAATTCGTTTATTGTAACAGTGCGTCCTACACAACCAATTTTGTAATAGTTGATGCTCAACTCTTAATTGTCCTCATCAATACATGCGACAAGTAAACCACAAAGCGATGGAATTCATCCAATTCTCCCCAATGATACCTTGCAATAGCCTTCAACTCATTCACCTGCAACCTTGGATAGTCGCTACCAAGCTTCACACTCACAAACAGCCACTCTCTGATCCAGACTATTGAGCTGGTATAGCAATTTTCAAGTCATCAACTGCTTGCATTAAACTCTTCCAAAAAGCAATTCTCTCTTTGTAATGATTAAGCTGTATAAATCTTCTGAAGACAAAAGCTCCTGGACCTAAATGAACTAACCAATGTCACACTTTAAACCAAGCACAGTGTTCGAAACGAAACCACCCAGATACTCCCTATGAGTAATCAGATTTGCAAGTCGCTACGATTCAAAGACCACCAACGCTGCAACCTTAATTCAATCTAGACAAAAAATGTGAAAATAAAAACCGTAACCCCAAGTCTATTCCAGATGACATGACCGCGCCAGACACAGAGATAGGTCAATACACAAGTACATCAGTGACCGAACAAAGCATGTCCAGCATTAATCTACACAGAAAACCTAACCAAAGAAAATGCTATTCCAAATCGACTTCTATTCCTTTTTCAGATATCGAAAATCAATTTCCAGTCTGATCCGAGCTGGAAAACACGACGCCCTAGCTGGTCATGAACCGATAAATTCCCTACTCAACAGTAATGCCAAAAAACACTTGGACTATTATAATCCAGACTTTCAAAGAGATGCAGCGACCTCTCCAAACAATGCCAGAAAAATTAAAAGACTGAAAAACGATAATACACTCCACCGATACATCACTCAATCCGCATCATCGCCGGGCTAATGTCTTGGACACTACCTGGATACTAAAACGCTGAGAAGGACCAGCAGAAAGCAGAAGAGTTTCACAGCCCTAATAAAGTATTCCACCCTCAAATGGTCACGGAAAACACTGACGTCACTTCAAAAGATGCCGCTGCCACCACACTTCGCCAAAGCTCACCATACAACCGATCACACCCATTGTCTTACCATTCCCACAAGAACTGACCAACGAACCTGGACTGACGCTTAACCCTAGATAATTCACCAAAAGTGGAGCGGAGTAGAATTTTGCAACCAAAGATTGCAGGGTGATTGGATTCTGACGGTGCGCGAGGTGAGAGATTTTATAAAAGTGCGGAATACAATTTGAACTTCGGCGGCAACATGGCCAGCCTGAACGCCGTGGGCAGTCGTTAGGCTGACTTACAGACGCACGAGTTCTGCGACGCGTCCGTCGGATAACAGGTTCGGCAAGACGACCTTGCTTCATACTCATCTCAACTCCAGCTCAGCTTCGGACGTGGCGGTAGATTCCCTTCCGCATCTAAAGATTTTCTCTTCCCGTTGGATGGTTTTCCTTGATTGGGTTGATTAATGCAAAAGTATATTTCTTATTAGAGGTTGGCATCTTCTGTTGGAGCTACGGGATCCTAACAGACATCAAGTCAATTGTCTGCATTCACTCATTTGGGAGGTCTGACATCGGTTTTTGACAGGTAACCTAACACTGGGTTGTCAAAAGGCAGCCAGGCAGAAGTCGACGAAGCTTTCGATCGGTTCATGCGCTGTGGGTCTCAGTGTGAATGATTGTAGGCTTCTCTACATTATTGTGCAAATTCAGAGGAGTGTTATTCGAGAGTTTTTGTTTGTAGGGAAGAGGTTTCCGATCCATGGCGGCGACAGACATACCTCTTGCACTAGAGCAGCAGCAGAAGAAGAAGAAGCCAGCGCCTGGGCGAGGCGGTGTTACGGCGACACTCAGCGAGGATGAAGCGCTATTGCGTTGTATTGGGGAGATTGTGGATGCGATGGTTCAGGGGTGCCGGAAAGGGGAGAGTGTGGACTTGAATGCGCTCAAATCGGAAGCGTGCAAACGTTACGGTCTTTCTCGGGCTCCCAAGCTGGTGGAGCTGATTGCTGCGTTGCCTGAGTCCGAGAGGGAGATGGTCTTGCCTAGGTGCTATGAAGCTATGAATCGTATGACTTGCGTCCCGTCGTCGAATTTTCCTCCTTTCCAATAGAGGAATTGCAAAGCAGAGTTGCTTAGGGTTCAGATTATTTCGGTTCACCTGGTGGTATCGTGTTTACGTTGGCAATTTTGTTCGATTTTAGGTTGCGAGCAAAGCCAGTGAGAACTGCGTCAGGAATTGCGGTGTTAGCTGTGATATCGAAGCCGCACCGATGCCCTCACATTGCAACGACGGGAAATATTTTTGTTTAGTGCCCTGGAGGATCGGATTCTGATTTTGAGTATAGTACTCAATTATATACTGGTTACGGACCAACTAGTATGCGAGCAATTAGGGCTAGGTATGTTTACTTTTGCAGTTATCTAATCTTTAATTTCCTCTCATTATACCTCACTTCGTACTCCAAATCAAGCAAAAAGTCGGGCACCTGTGACTTTTGAAAAGGGTGCCTGTTGAGAGGACCACAAACATAAATTTTTCTTTGTGCACTTGCTATCATCCTGACCAGAACTTTATTAATACTGTATAGGCGGGTTCCTTATGCTTTACATATGGCTTGGTCGAAGCTATCACAATGATCAGTATTTGTAGTGTACAACTCAACATTTCTTGTAATCGAATTCCTATTTAGCTCCTCAGTAATGAACAGTTCTTGCACTGCACAGGTATAATCCTTATGTTCAAGCTCGCGGCCGGATCGACCTGCTGAAGAGGCTTGGTCAGAGTGTAGATAAGGTTTGTTCCTACCTCCCTCCATCTTTTCTCCTCGATTGTTTGACAGATTTGAGTTGTTGACAACGCTGTGTAAAAATATTGTCTCATCTTTCTTTAATATGTGTAAGTGTGACTTTCATAGACGTGAATCTCGTGAGAAGTAAGACTATTTAACAGCCATGGAAACCTTTAGTACTCTGAACTTCTTAGGTTGAAATTTGTTGCTTTGGGCAGGTGGAGTTTATCTTGATGGGAGGAACGTTTATGTCTGCCCGCTGTCTGGGACTATTTTATTCGCAATTTACACTACGCTCTATCTGGGCACACCTCGCATGACGTGGACGAAGCTGTACCTTACTCAGAACATGGAAACGTTAAATGCATCGGCCTCACTATTGAAACGTATGCCACCACATGCTCTTGGTTTCATCCTTAATATTGATATGATTTCTCTGCTCAGGACATGCAGTGACATTCTGAAATACAACCATTGCAGAACTAGAGAATCTTTTGAGACTTGAACGATGCCTTGGCATGAGGATGCTAGTGTTCATGATTGCATTTGTGCGTAGCATGTACCGTTTTGAAAATAGCTCTTGTCATGTGTTTTTAGAATGGTTTTCCGGCTTGAAACCATTGCCTGCACAAGCTAAGCTTCCGCTCATCCAAAGTGTTACTACTCAAAAAGGAACATTATGTTTTCTTTTCTTTTCTTTTCTTTTCTTTTCTTGTCTTTTTATATTGAAGTAGAATTCCATGTCTGAAACGAACTTTTCATTGGCACTTTCTTGATGTTGAACTGAGTGGTAAAGAGGAAAAACCATCATCTGATTGGTTGAGATATGTGTGCAGGAGACCTGATTACTGCATTGGTTCACATTTGCGTCAGATGTTGACGTATGGCTGCACCCGCCCAGAAATTGGTGTACAAAACACCTACGAAGATGTGGCACGGGATACCAATAGGGGACACACAGTTGCCACTGTTGAAGATTGTTTCCGCCTTGCTAAAGATGCAGGTTTTAAGGTAATATACGCTATGGTAGTCATAGCTAGACTTTGTGTCTTTGACCGTTTCCGTCAGTGGTTTCTTTAGATCTTAACACGTTGTGAGTTTTCTCCTTAAGCTTGTGTCATTTGATGTGAAATCGTTTAGGAGATTATCGCACTGCTTGTGCATGTGGGGATTAATTTAAAATCGATGTACTAGTTGAGAGGGTCAGTACTTTGCAGATTTGCAATTATGAGACATTGAAAAATGTTCTGTTCCTGAATTCAGATTGTTGCAAACATGATGCCAAATCTTCCCAATGTGGATATGGAGAGAGATATGGAAAGCTTCAGGGAATTTTTTGAGAATCCTGCATTTCGCACGGATGGTCTTAAGTTGTACCTCACGGTAGTGATTCGGGGAACTGGCCTTTATGAATTGTGGAAGACTGGAAAGCAAGTAGCTGGAAGGATCACACTCTATTCAGCTGCACCATTTTACTTTTCGATTGAAAATTTGTCTCCTTTCATAATTTTTTCATACTAGCATGTATTGCAATGTTTTTGGTGACTAATTTCTTCCTCAATACTGCATGTTCTAATTACTTTACGGATTTTCATTGTAGGTACCGTAATTATCCACCAGAACGGTTGGTAGACTTGGTAGCACGAGTGCTGGCCCTGGTACCACCATGGACTCGTGTATATCGGATTCAAAGAGACATTCCTATGCCGCTTGTCACTTCACGTGTAGAAAAAGGTAATTTGCGGGAGTTATCATTAGCACGCATGGACGATCTAGGATTGAAGTGTCAAGATGTGCGAACCCTAGAGGTAGGAATTCAGGTCAATATTCTTAGCACTCATGAATTTTCCACTGCCTTCACGTAGCAGCACTGCATTGGACAAAGTGATGCAGGATTTCTGATTCCGTGAAGCACAAATGGCCGGGGAAACCAACACGTTTGGTGCGACAGGACATACATCATAAGATCAAATCTAAGGAAGTCGAGCTCGTCCGACGAGATTATGTTGCGAATGAAGGTTGGGAGACGTTTCTATCATACGAAGACACTCGCCAGGTCCTTAAATCATTTCTACGTAGATATCGACAGAAACATGAGCTGCGCTGCTACATTTGGATGATGTACATATTGTTGTTTTCCTGTCCTTCACCGTGTTTACCTACATGTTATGTAAAATTCCTCATAATAGGCTTGTGTGTTTGAGCAGGATATCTTAGTAGGATTGCTACGACTTCGCTAATGTGGACGCAATACCACGTGCCCTGAGCTGATGGAAAGGTGTTCTGTGGTGCGAGAGCTTCATGTTTATGGAACTGCTGTCCCTGTCCATGGTCGAGAAACTGACAAGCTGCAACATCAGGTACTATTTTTCGTTCAAGCATATTACTTCATGTGAAAATCTGGATGTTGTCAGTCTTGGTCATAGAAATCCTATTAGTCTTAAGAGAATTTCTCAATTTTGATCGATTTTGGTGTGAAGGATTATGGTTCGCTGCTGACGGAAGAAGCCGAGAGGATCTCTTTCACAGAGAATTGGTCAACGAAGTTGGCAGTTATTTCTGGTGTTGGTACTCGCCATTACTACAGAAAGCTTAGATGTGAGTTGGAGGGTCCATACGTGGTTAGAGAGTGCCATCTTTCCACCTTTATTACCATTGCAGTATTGAAGACCAATGAGCCCAGAAGATTACTGTCGAATTTGATGTAAGACCTTTCAGCGGGATCTAGTAACACCCACTGATCTTATAACCTTAGATAGCCAATGGTGACCATTGTTACACGCAAGTCTACCACTCTACTTTTAATGGAGGTTTGTGTCGTCGTAAATAAGTTACACCTTAATTATCATCCTTGAAAACATCCTTGAAAATATCCTTGAAAATATTTATGTTGAGATGGTGTTTTGAAATGCTCTTGCTTCTATTGGTAGCTAATGTTAAAATCACACTATATCTCATTTCACATTTTTGAATTAGAGGGTCCACACCAAGGCCATTGAGAATCAATCTTCTAATTGGGTAATTGGATGTTAGACATAAATATTTGATGATAAGATTTATCTAAGTATTAGTGATGGTAAGTCTAAAGATTTTAAACACATATACTCAAATTGAGTATCTAAAGATAGGAAATGAAGTCTAAAAGAAGGTAGACAAAGGAAGACAGAGATTGGAGTTTAAAGGTGAAAGAGTAGTTTATAAGAAAATGCATGATGAAATTTAGAGCTATTCTTATTGGCTAGGTTGGGATTCAATCTCATAGGATTGTGCTACATTTCTAACCATATCAAAGATTTTTTATAATTTTAGTTTTTTTTAATCAAATTACATAAACATTCCTATAAGATAAAATTTTATCTTTTCTTTATTGCTTTGATAGTCGGTAGGAGGCAAAATCCATTTCTTATATTCAACTCCTGAAGATAAATCTAATTTAGGTGGTATTTATTTGTGTGAGAAGTTTAGAGATTTTTTTTAAGAATTTTCAAATTAATAAATATTTAAATTATAATCTCTTTTTACTTCATAAAGAAGTTACTTTTATTTAATGATTTTATGCTTAAAAAGAAAAACAATGGGATTTTTAATGTTTTTCTTGTATATCATCATTTTATTAGAATAATTTCTTATCGGATTTTTATATTTGGTAGAAACAAAAAAATTAGTAAAAAATAACAATATAATATTAAAACAAAAATATTTTTTTATTCTTTAAAGAGCAAATGATTTAGGTCCAAATTTATTTATTTTTTGATGGTGGTGGATATTATAAAAATCTACAATTTTACAAAGATGCTTAATATGAAATCTATTTCAACTTCGTCAAGGGGTGATGCTTTACTTTGATGATGCTTCATAAATCAAATTACACTCTTTTAGATACTTCTAAAATGTTGACTAATCTAAGTCTAAAATCAAATAAACAAATCTATAGACATCTTTTTATAATGAAATAAAATAAAGTTGGTTTTTGTTTTTGCAAGTTTTAGAATTATAAGACCACATGCAAACAAAAGAAGAAAAAAATAGACAATGTGTACTTTTTATTGCAAGATACAAAAAAAATATATATTTGAAATTAACCAACTATATTAAAAAAGAATAAAAAAATGATAACCAAACAAGATAAAAACAGAAAATCTAAAGAAAAAAAATTTGAAAATCAATCACAACTTGTGTCAATATCTTTGCACAAATATAATATTATAAATTACAAAATTACATCTTTTACATTAAAAGTACTAAAATTTAATTATTCACTATTTTAAAAAAAATAACTAATATATATATATATATATATATATATATATATAAATACACATACATAAGAAAATTGCTACTATTATGGAAAAATAATTATAATTTTTACAACACTATGTATGTTTTATTTTTTTTCAAATTTAATATGTCAAATTTTATATAAGTGAAGAGTTAACATATAAAATAAATTTAAAAATCATATTCACTAAGTTATATACATCGTTCAAAATGGCTTTCTTCATTGTTAAAATATTAATGTAGTAGAATAGGTTGTAATAACTATTATAATGGGTTTAAAATTGCAATAAAGAAAGTTCAAATTTTTAATGTAGAGACTTTAGAAAGATTGTCTAATTTGACATATTAAACTTGAAAAATAAATATATATATAGACTTTAATCTATATAAAAATAAAAATAAATATTAGATTCTTTTTATATTAAATAAAGAATCAAACTAAAAAGTAACTAAATTACTTTAATAGATAATTTAAAAAAAAATACAATCTTTAATAGACCAACTTCTATCATAGTCAATTTTATAAAACTTTTAGGTTAGAAAAACTTAATATTTTTTATATTATAGATTGTAATTGAGATTTTTGATGATTCTTTATAAGAATCTTGTGTTATATTTTATCTTCTTGTATGTAAAATCTATTTTTTTAATTTAATAGTCAAAAAATTAATCAATTTATTTGAAGCTGGATTTCTCGTATCTTTGATTCAATTGAATCAACTTGAGAATGGTGGCTATATTAATAAGTAGAATTTTTAAAATATAAATATAAATATATTGATGAATAAATATCATTGTCGTAAGCATATTTTTTTATAAATAAGAGATCATTTTCTTATTTTATCTATAAAAATATTATACTAATTAATTTATTTTAATATTTATTTAATTTATTTGATTGAATTTGTTTTAGATTTTTTTGGTAGAAAACTTGATTTTGATATCTTAAATTTAGAATATTTTTTTAATTTGATATATCATTTTTAAAGAATGCATAAATTTAATGAATATTAAAAATATATATTTGGCTATATTTTATTAGAATTTTTTAAATAAAAAATAAAAATTTCTAATATAAAAATTTCAAATGATCAAAATTAAGTCGTTGCTATAGAAAATAAAGAAATTCATATTCTATTCATTCATAAGAATGATTATGGACTTTTATTACATAAAAAATATTTGAATTAAGTTGTATAATTTATGACATAGAATCTTTACTCTTATATAATCAATTTAGATAAATTAAAAAATTACATCATTCTTTTTTTTAAAATATAAATATTTTAAAAATATCATTTATGTTTTAATAACTTTAAATTTTTTAACAACATAAAAAAATTTAACTTATTAGAACAAGAAATATGTATGTGATTTTTAAAACTACATATAATTTATTTTAGAATATTTTAAAAAATTATTATCTTATAAATATTTCTTTTTTTATTTTGTTATATAAATTTAATATTATATATATATATATATATATATATAATATTCTACTTAAAGAAAAAAAATTATATTGATTTAGCATTGAATATACTTTTAAGATGAGGCTATAAGCACACCTACTATTGTTATATACACACCTAAAAAGCATGGAGGCTTGTAATTGGTTGGATGTTATAATATGGACCCTGCTACCTGATATAAGTATAGATGGTGAAGGAAGTGGCAGTCCTCCCTTTGGTGATCTCATTGTCATGTGATAATATGACTATATGGTGAAAAAAAAAATATGGATGTTATTATAGAAGAGACTCATAAAAAAATATAATAAAAATATAATGATAAATAATAAAAAATAATAATAATAAATTTAATATTTATACTATCTTTTATAGAAAAGATTTCTATTTATTTTATAAAAATAAAATAAGCCAAATCAAAGTAAATGAGATAATTAATTAATACATATATTTTTACGAAAGAATTAATAATAGATTTAAATAAAAATAACCTCAAATTACCAAAAATTGATACTTGAAGAGGATTGGTTGAAATTCAAGGTCAAAATTAGATATTAAGATACAAAATAGCACGCCTATGAAAATTCCTTGGTTCTTTGGTTGACCAAATAAGGAGATTTGAAAACATTTAAGAGAGAGGTTCTTTGAGCATTAGATTCAAGTGATTTGAGTATGTAACAACTTTATAAAGGTTTTATAAAGTTAGGGGTTTTTTTTTAATAACTTTGGATTTTGAAAAATTCAAAGAGTGTGTTAGGGACATATTCCTTAGAACTTTCTAGAGAGAAGTTTCTAGAACCTTCTAGAAAACAAGCCTCTGGAACCTTTTAGAGAGAAGTTTCTAGAAGCTTCTAGAAAGAAAGTCTCTGGAACCTTCTAGAAGAGAAGTTTCTAGAAGCTTCTAGAAATGAATCCCCTGGAACTTTCTAGAAGCTTCTTAGTTAATAGAAGTAGCTCGAGAAGTTTCTAGAACCTTCTAGAAAAGAAGCCTCTGGAACCTTCTGGAAGCTTCCTAGTTAATAGAAGTAGCTTAAGAAGCTTCCTAAGTAGGAGTATATATACGGATCGAGGCTGAAGAGTTCTTCAGTCTCGACAACACATCTCTTGGAGTTCTAGCTTACCTTTTTGGTATTGTTCTTGTACTCATCTGTTTAATCTAGTTCTGCCACTTCTTCTTCATTTTCTTGTTAGATTTCAAGTCTGTATTTTGTGTCCGTGACAGTTTGTCGAGACTACACTAACTTGAGATATCAGAGCTAGTTCTTTCTTAGTAGAGTGTGGATTACCCCTCTACTTGAAGGTATACTAGTATTTTTTAGAGGTTGCGGATTACCCTCCTCTAAACTGATACTTCTTCTGTTACAATATTGGAGTCTTATTCTTCTTGGAGAGAGTGGATTACCCCTGTTCTTGAAATTCTTAAGACGTTTTATGGGTTGTGGATTACCCTCCTATAAACCAATATTGCCTCTTATAGGGTCATTTTTGTCCTTCTTTTAGAATGGCCGGAGGTCAAGACATTAGTATGACAGAAAGTTCGGAGTCTAAGTTAGATGCTATTATGAATGCCCTCGCTACGTTATCACAAAGAACTGCAGAGATTGAAGGAGTGGTGGCAAGGCTTCATAATGATGGAGTATCTGGGATAGCACAATCTAAACTACACCAACCTCAAATGTCGGCACTTGGAGAAACAACTTTACCTCAGGTTCGACAAGAACCACTAGTTCTACAACATAAGGAGCCTCGAGTTAGCCTTCCAGATAAGTTTGATGGAACACGTTCCAAGTTTCGAGGATTCGTCAATCAAATCAAGTTGATAACAGTTTTACAGCCCGAACGATATCCAACGGAGGAGTCACGTGTTGGACTTGTTGGAACCTTACTTACGGGACAAGCTCTATCATGGTTTGCTCCTTTGTTTGAGAAACGATCATCCATATTAAACAACTTCGAAACCTTTTTGGAAGCATTTGCGGAAGCATTTGGTGAACACGATAAGGTTCGATGGGCTACAACAAAGATCCGGTCGCTACGACAAGGGATGCGTTCTACATCAGTCTATGCTTCGGATTTCAGGCAATTAGTATGCGACATCAATTAGGATGAAGAAGCGTTGATGA